TTTCAAATATTTGCCACCAAATGTTATCGCAATGTATTATTTTAAAAAAATTAAATAATGAAGATTCTGCATGTGTGTATGTATGTTCCTCCCACTGTTAAAATACGACGGTACTATAGCCATCCAGTTTCGAATAACGCAGTCCTCTACCGGAGCATGTGCGCCTGGAAGACAGAATTTTGTATTATCTATTTCATATTTTGTAAAACGTTAACGAATTTTGGTTAACGTATTCAACGAAATGAAAGTAAGCGGTGGCAACAGTGTATTGAAATTCAAATTACCTCCAGAGCACGAAACTGTTTGAGGGAAAAACTAATGATATGCTGTTTTAAAATATTTTGTGATTTTGCAATTGAATTTAATGTTATGTGGCGTAAGTGCTAAGAACGTGATATTTAATAAATACACAAAGCAGTTTTAGTAAAAAGGTCGAAAAAAAGTTTTGGAGGCCATCTTAACTAAGAAAACCGATCATTGATATGATGAACTGAGAAAAGACTGAAAAAAATAGTAAAAGACAATAAAGATATGTGCCAACATTTAGAACTGCATCGGGAATTCTAAGCATATGTTGCTATTTTAAAATTTTTGCAGTTTTATTATTGAATTATGTGTGGCGTAAATGCGAAGAAAATGATGCTTAATAACGCTAAAACGACAAAAAGAAGTAGGTTACTCGGAGTAAGTGCAAAAGCAGGCTGCTAAATTGCAAGCTCAGCAACAGTGTGTAAATCCTTAACAAATCTCTTTGGGCGATCGTTAAAATCTGAGCTTTTTTTCGTGACTTTTCTTTTCAAGTTTCGCTACGAATGATATTTCCTCGACACATTTCGCATTTATCAAATTGTATAAATATTAGTCAATGATTTTAGTATCAGTTCAATAATTTTTAAAGGACTTTTTCTATTCCTTTTTCTTTATAATTAAGACTTTTCTATTTCTTTTTCTTTATAATTAAGACTTTTTCTATTTTTTACAAACTTAAAGTCGATAATTATTTCATTTTTTAAAAATTTTATTAGTAATAGTATTGAACACCGTGAAAATCTTTTAGAGACAGTAGAAATGCAGTCGAAATTTTCCTAAACTGTATTATTTGTGATTGAATTATTACTCCAAAGGGGCAATTTGCACTGAAGGACTATTATTTTCGTTTTGGCATTTTGCGTTGTTTCACTATAAATGTCCGATTCACTTTTCATATTGTTGCCACCAAATATCATCGCCCTGTATATTCAAAAAATTAAATAATGAAGAAGCTGCATAAATGTATGTATGTTTCTCGCATTGTGATAAAACAACGGTACCTAGAACTATCCAATTTTGAATGACGTAATCCTACTGCAAATATGGGCATCTGGAAGCCCAAATTTAAAATTTGGGAATTGGTTTTATTATGGATTTCATATTTTGTAACACTTTAACGAATGCAGTGTTTCAAAGCAATATTGTACAGAAAAAACATTTTTATCTCCAGCGCGAGACTGTGTATCGGAAATTCTAAAGATGTGCTTATTTTAAAATCATTTTGCTACATTGCTGTTGAACTGAATTTTATGGTTTAAGTGCGAAGAACATGATATTTAATAAATAAAGGTAACACACAAAACGCTAAAAAAACGCCCCTTTGGACATAATTTAAAATCTGAAACCTTCGAATTTTTTTTTTTTTTTTTTTCTGTGTGTGTGTGTGTGTAATGAGCATAAAAGCTTTCTACATGTAAGATTTGAGATTGGGAGAACGCATATAAAGTTATATTACGTAATACTTGAAAATTGATCTTTTCAAATTTAAATATGCCAAAACATGAACATGGCATCATTTAAAAAAATTTCTGAACTGAAAGTACATGTCTATGACCAACTGTCTCTAAAATTGAGGTCCGGTAAAGACTTTTGCGTATACTGTGTATAAATGAAATATTTTTTTTTCTTTTTCTCGTATCTTTAGTTTATTTATTTAATTAATTACACCAAGGTAATGATAGAATATCCATATATCCTTCGTTTTGCTTTCTAATCTACATAACATTTACAACATCTCAGGCAATCAGGTCAATTCTTATATACAAAACCGAAATTTTATTAACCGTGTAGAGACATTAGGCTATTTGGAAGCCGGAGTCATGAAAAATGAGCAACGTCTTCGTCGGGAAGCGAACCACGGACTTCTGGAATACGCACCCAGCGTGCAGACCACTGCACCATGAAGGCACGCTAAGAAGGCGGGAGAAATACCTTATAGCCGAAATATTTTGCTTCCTATTTTATAAGCATATATTTTATTGTAATATATCGGCATTTAGTAAGCGTGCTTTGAGACACAGTACACTAAATGTGTGGGAGGGGGATAATGAAAAATGATAATAAATGTCTTACTATAATTAAAGCAACAGAAAATGATAAAACCATTTAATGTTCTCATTTAACTCTTTGAAAATGGAAATCTTCATCAACTTGTATGCATAACGTACCGCACTGCCCAAAAAGGTTTCCAAGAGTCACAGCAATTTCTCCCCTCCCCATCCATTAACGCACAAAGAAGAGTGAAGATTTCAAATGACATGTTTTCTACTTCCTAAAACTGCACCTGTTATTGCGTACCTTACGTGAGGAATAAAACAACATCGGAGCTTCGGCCGTTTCTAGCGGTTGTGGTCGTTTGAATTAAAGGTCGTCTGGCGCGTTATGGTCTTCAAAATGTTATTAGCCTCCAGCGTTATCCATAAAAAATAACAAATGATAAAATTAACGGCAGCTGAAATGTGTGGAAAATCAGTCTTAGTTAAAAACTACCCACTCTAGGTGGCATTTAGGCAGAAATCTCTTCTAATTGGAAGTATAATTGCGTATAATTAACATAGACGTTTATTCAAAACTATGCTATAGTATAGAAATATTTTGTCCATTTTGAAGTAATAAATGTTTTAAATGAGGAAAAAAGTTTGTTTACTTAATGTGAACCAAATAAAACAAATAATTTGGACTAAATTTACAGGGACTTACTAAAAGTGGGTTAATGGTCTTCTTTTTCCATAAGCTCTTTTTAGCGACGTCTTTTTAGATTTAAAGTTTCATCAACTTAAAATGGTCTTAACGTTGGGCATGATGACCGTTCTATTGCGAAAGGTGTCGAATTTTTCATACAGTTATCATCCATAGAGAATTCACATTACTGAAATTTTCGTTTTAAAACATATGCTCTACATATTAATTCACAAAGACGCTTAGTAATATTCCCTAATTAAAGACCCATCTATGAATTAATGAAGGTGTTCTATTAAGAAGAAAACCTTTATTTTCCAAATTTTCTAAAATTTATGCTAAAATCTTCTATTTAAATCGTGAAAGGTATAAATAGTCTGAGTTATTATTACTATTATTTACGTGTTTCGCCCTAAGGCACTACACGAAAGTGAGGGATGCCTTCGTGGAGGGCTTTCTAAGGGAAACTTGCTCGTATTAGTATGTTACACATGGTGAAAACCATGAAAACACCCATACAGACAGCCCGTTCGCGGTATTCGCACCTCGCACTACCAATGTTCAAGAACTTTACCCCTCGATCGCTGGTGGGCTTAATGGCATGAGTTAGTAAATACATTCTTTAACAAATCTGCGAGCTTTAGAAGTAAAATACAGAAATTTTGTTTTTCACAATCTAAAACACAGTGAATGTTTTACTCCATGAAGTCCAAATAAAAATTTATTACTTTTTTTGGTCACAAATCATCCTCCCAACGGTGTTTCTTCTCTTTACATAAAATTTTCACCTTTTTTTTTTTTTTTTTCAAATTAAAAATCAAGCTAAAAGTTTATTTGCTCGCACAGCTCAATCCAAAACACTTATTTATTATTAGGCTATAAATTTGAAGAAAGTCAATAATTTTAATTAACAGGCCACCCTGAAAACTGCTCTGAATAAAATTTTAAAAAGAATTTTTTTTTTTTTTTTTTTTTTTTTTTTTTTTTTTTGACAAATTCATTTGAGGGGTGGACCTGAAATTTTTGCGCAACCCTTTCAGGGGTAAAATTTATGAAAAAAATTCTAGCTTTATTTTTGCTCGGAAGCTCGTTGGACACTAAGTGATTTACAGAATTTTAATTTCAGGTGCCCTTTTGCCTTTTACCTACCACATTTCATTCAACTAATGATAAACTTAAGGTTGGTTTTAATATTAGGCATGTGATGACGAAAGAGCTGACGGTACGGAAAAGAATGAGAATTTTGTCCAGCAAAGAATATCAAAAAATAAGAATGTGGGAGAAAATATCTTAGGGCATCTCAGCACCGCAGCACGCAAAACAGGATTTCCTTTATCGTCGCATATGCTTTCTTAGCGGAAGCGACTAAGTTCAGGACGAGAAGTTCAGATATTGCCAATTCTGCATCGCAATAGCATCCAACCCGCTCTGCAATATCTCCGAACGTTTCTTCCACAGAAATAAATTTATGCATTGCTTAGCCTAGTGGGAACAATTCTCGGAATGCCATTGCGGACTGGGAACGAATAGATGTCCCTTCCAAGTTCTTGCTTTCACTTTCGTTACATGGCGTGACATGTAAATTTGTTAAGTTGAAAATAAAATATAAACCTTTACTACTCATTCAGTTCGTGTTGAGAAGGACACTGCTCGAAATGGTATGAAGTATTTAGTGGTAAGAATCAAATTTTTATAAGAAGATTCTTTTGTATTAACGAAATTTTAAACAACGATATATTTATATTTTAAGGTATTTTCTCCCTCCTTTCTGCATGCCTTTGTGGTGTAACGGTAGCGCACTCAGCGCGTGTTTGAGAGGTTTAGGTCCACATTTTTCATCTCTCCTACAAAAAAAAAAAAAAAAAAAAAAAAAAAAAACTGTTAACACTACATGGCACTTCAACTAAATAACTTGTGGATGATGATTCTTCACCGTCAGGATTTGACGATTGGGTCCCCTAATCCCCAGTCGCTCTTTAAAAGGGGGAGTATTTTCTCCCTCCTTTCTGGATGCCTTTGTGGTGTAATAGGAAGCACACTCGAGGTATTCGAGAGGTCCAGGTTCGAGTCCTGGCGAGGGCATTTCACATTTTTCACGTACTCCTGCTTCAAAATAACTTAATACACTCTACAACCTTAGAGCTCAGTTTCATTAAGAATGTATCTGTAAACGTGCAATAATATTTTTGTTATTTCAATTAAATTGGTTTGAGGGAAAGTTACAAGTCTGATTAACAATAATATTTCTTTGTTGTTGCTAATTATTAGCTTTGATATGAAAGTGATTGTTTAAAAAAAACTATGCAAACATAAAATAATCTTAAATTTACATGAAATAGTATACGGAAATTTTAATGGAAGACTAAAGTGTTATAGTTATCCGTTTCTGTAATTAAATTAATCTACACTTTGTATTATAATTTCGTTTTTGGCACGTTAGAGCCAAAGAATTATTCAGTATTAGCTGGGTTGAATTAAAAATGCACGAATATCAAGCACCTTAAATTCCAGTCATGGTTTCGAAGATGATTTATTTTGTAAAAACTGATAACGGAAACTATATCAGGAAAATACAATTAAAAACGAAGTATCCATCACATTAATATTCTTTCAACTTTGTTCAAGTAAGTGTGACCGATATATTGCTGTGTAGAGTCCTTGGGTTATTTTTAAAGCAGGAGTGATGAAAAATTAGCAACGCCTTCGCCGGGAATTGAATCACGGACCTCTGGAATACCCACCCAGCAGGCTGACCACTACTCTGCGAAGGCATGCTAAGAAGGCGGGGAAAATACCTTATAGCTGTATGTATGTAAACAGTGTTCTTTTGAAAAAAGTATAATAATGCTAAAACTCCTAAAGACACTCTTTCAGCATTATGATCAAGTCCTTATTTATTATAATGACAAATGCATGCATAATGGGAAAATATTTTATTTCGATGATGATGTGAAGCTGGGACTGCATTAGGTCCATCCAAAGATTGTTACCAGTAAAAACATTGTTGTTTATAGGATCGTCGGATTAACTTTCCATTTTTTTAAAAAAAAACTAAATAAGAATTTAGAGGAAAACTGAAATTAACGTAAAACAAATGAACATCATTTATGTTCTTCCGAAAAGTACGTGTAAATTAGTAATTAAAAATCCCCATGAATTAAATCTATTGTAATATTTTATTTATTTATCGATTTTTTTTTTATTTTTATTACCTGCCAAAAAATGCTACTTCTTTTAAAATCGATGAAAAATATCTTCAAATTTTCAACGTTTATTTCCGATTTAAATAATTGATACTTTACAAAGTTTTTAGTCAAATTTAGGTACATTTGAGAGAAATGGATTTCCTTATATTAGTAATACTAGATACTGCTATATCAATAATAATAATTTCTCATCCTATGCAAAGATAAATTTTAATTTTGTTGGGTTCACTTTATTTTTCTAATAGTTATTTTTTATTTCGGAAAAAGCCCTTCCTTTACCTTCTCATTTTCCACCTACGTTTTGCTGCCAGAATGAATTTTCAGGATTTCGATTTATGTAAATGAGGTAGAAACGAGTATTTAAGCTAAAATCTTTCACGACTGCTGTTGCTAGTCTAAGCATAGCGATATATGGCAGTACTGCTACGAGGCTGCTAGTTTACGTGGGTGATCTTAAATAAGGGCCAACTCGGTTAGTTAATTCTGTGCAGCTTCGGCTGGTTTATTTTAGTTAGTATCAAATTAGTTTTACGTTTTCTAGTTTGAGCTAAAGCCCAGGTGGAGGCTTACTGTAAGCCCGAAAAGGGGTCATCTGCTCATTTTTTTAATTTTTAATAAAGAATAATTTAACCCTTTTTTGAACTTGTTATTTACAAGACCTCATCGAATAGTTGTTACATAGTTCTTTAGTATTCTAGCTCACAAGGAAAATCTGATAGATCTGCGTTAATATAATCTTCAAATACTAAGAGCAATAGTTCACCATAACCTAAAAACCATAGGGATGAATTAAAAATGTACTACCAGAAATAGATAGAAATGATTAATTTGTAGAAAAATATGTAATGGTTAAAACTTTACAGACATCGTTCTGTAATGTAATATGCACAAGTTGTCTATCTGATTCAATTCTAACTCTTATGCAAATAATCGCGTATTTAACTTTCCTCGTACAGTTTCAGTTCGCAAAGAATACATTTTCATTTTAATTTCACCAATGAACGAGTAGGCAAGATCGCTGAATTCTGGAAGTTCGGCCTTATTTCGATCCCAGAAGAAAGGACTGGCTACATGACTGATTTTCGTGGTATATTGTGATTGATGTAAAGCGAATGGGAGCAGGTTTTCCTTAGAAGGTCCTACAAAAAGGCATTCCTCTCCTTTCGCAGACAGCCCTTGAGGGCTATGCCATATTCTAATATTCTAATCAATTTGCATTTTTAAATTTCATCTGAATCCTAATGTTCTTCTATAAAATAAAATTAAATAAAGCTTACAGCTAAAATATTGATTTTAATTGCAATTTCAGCTTTGTTAATTTTTAATTTCCTTTGTGGAACATATTCCTTGAACAACTTTAAATATTCTTAAGTATCAATAAGCTTTAATGTTTTATATAATACTGCAACATATATATTGGTATCGATTGCTTTAACACAAGATTTTCTGTTAATTATACTTTCTCAAATTCTGAAACGGTGATAATTTTATTATGTGCACACACATAATAAGATTTGTGTACCTGATACAGGATTACCTTAGGATCCTCAGCAGCTTCGGTTAGTTTATTTTATTCGAAAAGGATTATTCCACTACAAAATATGACTGAACGTAAGCCTTTCACAATATAGACACTATATCGGAGTGCTCTGTATTTCTCAAAACGGATAGAATGATATCAGATCCAGTGTACACAAACTAAAACGGAAATGTTATAAATATTCTAATTGCCAGTGCAATTCTTGCATTAAACTAGTTCTCGAAGTATTTATCAAGGAAAGATTTCAAATACAATTTCTTTTTCCTTGATGTTTATACATTTTATTAAAATACTGTTACTCGCATACGGGTTTCTAATACATTCAGTGCACACAGGTCCCGATGATAGACTGATAAAAATTATTTTATCTAAAGGAACATTTCAGAGTTCTGAAAATTTTCACAGAAATACTCGAACAGGTGTTCACAGTCAGTGGTTATACCTTCAGACTACTAAAAAAGTTAAACACAACGCAATGCAAAGCGCGTCTGAAGAGGAAGTTAACCCGGCGATATTACTCGGAACACACGCTGCTAACAACAACTGACAGCAGATGCTCTCTCCGGATTTACATACTTTTCCCACGGCCGCCGAGATATTTCTAGTACTTTCTGTTTTCCGAAGTACTGGAAGGTAATAAGAGGGTCGAATTGCAGTTACAGCTAATATAATGATTAAATACATTGATTCAATTACGATACCTAATACGGTGATACAGAGGCCGGACAAAAATGCCGCCAAATGGTCGTCAAGTTTGGGGATTTCTCGTTAAATTTGGCGACAAAAATTAGTCGCCAAAGCTGTTGCAAGCTTAGCGATATCTCGCTAAACTACCGAGATACCCATTTACTCAATAATAAATGGACTTACTCCTGTAATATTACTTTCTCGACGTAGCTTGTTTCTCTAAACTCTTCATGTTATTTCACACGCAATTACATTAAAATAATCTATCTATGTACTTTACTGAGTTAATTTTTGGTAGAGAATTATATTGTTTTTTCTCATTTATCCACTTAAAAGGTTAATTCTTATTAATGAGAATATCCATCAGCTTTCAAGAGTCTATGTATTTCTGGCACTGGGAATGCTTTCGCTGATCAAACTTAAATAAAAATTGCAATTGTGTGTTTGGGATTTGCAGTATATTACTCGGTTTTTATCCAACCTACATGCACTCTTGAATGCTGCGAGACGGTAATCCTGAAATTACATTCTCAGGAGTGCTATCTTTATGACTCTGCCTCTCTCGCAGCAAAAATCTCTTGAAAATGCAATTTCAGCATCCTCCATCGGAACTTCATAGAGATTCGCTTTTAGCTTTTACATAATATTTCTCATAACTCTATTTTATGTAGCACATATTGATAACGCTACACAGATATTTTATGATATGAAAGTGAATTACAGTGGCCTTCCTAAATATGAATCTAACTCAGAGATTTACGAAACCTTTTAACTTACAACTCTTTTAACACCACTACAGCATGCTGGCGCCTCACTACATTCGATATTAATGCAAAGTTATATTTCAGTAACTAACTAACAACAGTGATAATAATAAATAAACTATTAACAATGAGAAGCTTGGATATTACAGATACTATTAAATAATAATTTTCAAAATGAAGTCAATTGATTAAATCATAACAGACTCCAAAATATATATAAAATAATTAACATGTTTAGGAATGAATTAATGTGATAGGGCTTTATGAACTATACCTTCCTTAATATTTGATTTTGTTAAACAATTAGCCTCAGTGGTCTTCTATTTTGAACCTACTTCCTTTTTGGACAAGGTATTTATGTTAATTAGCCAGTTATTTTATGTTCCAAATCTGCTCTGTCAATTCTCTCTTTCAGTTTTCCTGCCAAAATGCAAATTAGCTCGCGTGTATGTAACTGAAGAGTTGAGACTGTTCTAATCAAAGCGTTTTCTGCCTGCTGAAGGCCACATTATTAGTTGCTTTCTAAGGTAAATGTTCCTGACTACGGCGTTGCTTTATTCTTGTCAATAGCGCTGTCACACCGGTATACGCTTTAAGAGCCAACTTCTGCGTTTAAATATCTCTGCATAGTCTTTGACTAATAGGTACTTAGGTTTACCTTTAATTTTTAAACTTCTACTTCAGAGTTCACGCTAAACTGCTGGCTGATTTATAAGCACTAGGTGTGCCGTCTGTTGAGCTAACTTAATTTTAAATAAAAGGAATTTTTACACCTCTTTTTAAGTTTTGTTTCGTCTTAGCCATAGCGGTAAGTCGCTGATATATCTGTTGAAGAATTTGCCACAAGTCACATTTAACTACAGTTACATAATATACAACTACTAT